TAAAATTTCCTCTCTTGTTTCAGTTCTAGTGTCCATAGACAAACTCACCAGAGTTCTCATGATCCAGCAGTAATCCTGTACCTTCATTCTCAGGAAAAGCCCCTCCTCAGTGCTTTCGTGTCATTTCAACACCCACCGATCAGTAGATTCCAAGAAAGTATGACTCTGTAGTTGGTGAGACAAACAAGTGAGGAGAGTGGAATCATGTCTGGCTCTGGGTGCCTAGCTATCTGAATTCCAAATACAAGGAGTTCCATTGCCAAGGAAACGAAGGGATGTCACTGAGTGGACAGAAGTGAGATGAGGTCACTTCCCTGGCAACCAGTTTCTCCTAGCAGTTGTTTCCAAGGGCCCCATGAGAAGAAGGTTGCACCCATCTTTCTGTGACATTTTAACAACTTGAAAAACTTATACCACACACCAGTTGCCAAGTCTCCAGACAGGCCTAGTTTTGTCCATCTTCCTTAGATTGAGAAGACACAGCTTGATTCAGACATATCCCCTTATTCTCTGTTAAATTATGACACAAAGAAAAGACCACCAACTCCAATTATTAATCCAATTAAAGCAAGCTTATATTTCTGTCCAGGACTCTCTCTCCCCAAAACCTTGGGCTTGGGAACAATATCTCAGCTCTCTAGGAGCATAGTTTTATAGGAGAAAATGTTGCAAAGGGAACATCTTGTGAACTTAAGAGTTAACAGGATTTTGACACACACAATACCCCTCCTGAAAATAAGAAAGTTTAAATGACTGAAACTTAATAGTGCTCTTCTTTCCAAATTAAAAACCTAGTGTGTACTAATGGTAGGTTCGTTGTGTGTATTTGAGCCAAGGAAGAACTCAACTATCTATGTCTTACCTAATTTATTGCCAGGAAAATCTCATTTGACACAAAGGATTTCTATTCTCACTTCATGAATGTCACAAGTCTAACTAGATGCAGTTTACAGACTCCACCAATTTTGTATTTTTTCATTTTTATTTTGGGATGGGTACACAATATATTTATTTTTATGAGGTGCTGAGGGTCTAAGTCAGTGCCTCACACATGTGAGGCAAGCGCCTTACCAGTGAGGGACAGATGAAGTCCCTTTATCCAAATTTCAAAACTAATTTTCCTGAGGCTTCACATAAGAGAGGCCTGAGGAAAATCACTACCTCACATTTGTGAGAACAGAAAACTAGAGAAGAACAAAGCCATGGGCAGACATTTTCCACAGGACCAAGACTATGACAATTAATTACTTCTACTGCTCATCTTACTTGGATTTCTATCTATCCAGGCAGTGATTTCCTCTTAAAACCTTACCTTTCACAGTAGTTTCTGAGTTTCACAGTGATGTTCAACATTCCCTTCACCAAGCCAATAGAAGGCCATTTCATGGGGCTTGGAGGTGGTACACATCTTCACACAAAACCGCAAGCACCTTCTTGGTAGTGGCCAAATTTCAGGAGCAGTATTGAAACTTGTGAACATAGTAGGAGTTCCTCATCTGCAAGGAAACAGCAGTCTATTCATAAATCTGCCAGAATGAATGCTGGGAATGTTTTCATCAGACAGGATATATCCAGTGATACATTATTTTTTCTTCTATCTAGGATGACAGACGAAGAAGAATATAGCAACAAAGAATCAGAAACTATTAGCAAAATGACTCACTACTGAACAATCAATTAAAACAAAAAAAAAATAGTTTTCCTTCCACATTCTTAGGTATTATGAGAAAAAAACAAACCCAAGTTCAAACACACATCCACAAACATACATGAACACTCATACTCACACCCACACACCTGGAAAGGGTCTTTGTCTATCCACAGTGTCATCTGATGGTGCCTCTTTTGACTCAACTGTGGTCTCCTTGGGTGAACTCACCACAGTTGTCATGTCCTAGTAATGATCCTGTACCTTCATTCTGAGGAAAGATCCCTCCTCAGTGCTTTCATGGCATTTGTCTATCCACATATCAGTAGATACCAAGAAAGTATGACTCTGTATGTGGTGATTCAAGACAAGTGAGAAGATTGGAACTGTGTCTTGCTTTGGATGCCTAGCTACCTGGATTCCAAGTTCAGTGAGTTCCATAGTGAAGGAAATGTGGTGAGGTCACTTCCTTGAAAAGAGTAAGATGATATAACTTCCTTTACAACCACTTTCTTCTACCAGGTGTTTCCAAGGGCCTCATGACATAGAGGCTGAACCCATCTTCCTGTGACATTTTCACAAGTTGAC